TAGAGGTATTTGATCACCGCCGTCTGAGAACCACCATTCGACTGAAGTACACCGACCTCGTCCCAAATGATGCAATCTGCACCTACCGTCACAGTATCACGGGGATATCCCAGACCATCAAAGAAATACAACTGAGATTGTCTGGGCGCGTTCTTCGTCATCCGCCTCACGAGATTAATGCTACTGTCCTCGATCCGGCACCGTTTCCCACCTGCAGGTGCCGAAGAGGTCAACTGAAGATCTGTTTCGACAAAGTTCGTCGAGACTTGAAAGCCGTTCGTGGGCCTTCGGTATTTTGCATTCTTCGCTGAAGAGAACGGATCGAGCTGTCCAGATTCGCTGTCGCAGATCATCACGCATAGAGGCGTAGAGAATGTGACATCATCGAGGCCGGCTAGATCAGGCTCGAATACAACCGTACCAAGTCCAAAAGTTGGATATGAACAAGACGACATACTGTGGGCTTTCGCTTTCAGGTTAGTGACGCACATGACCGAGCTTCATTAGTCGGCGGATGAGACGGCATGGTTGACTAGTTCCGTTCTTCGCCGTGCAACTGTGGTTCAAAAATATTTCTTTAGAATGGTGAAGCTGCAGCAGCCTTCTTGTCTGTAGATGAGCACAGAACCAAGTTGTCAAAGAAATCCGGAGGAATCGAACATGGCGTCCGATAGCCATTTTGCTCGGAGGCTGGTCCACTCGTTACCATTCGATTAGGGTAGGATGCCGAGGGCAGCTTTCTCACAGCGAACTTGCTTTAGGCCTTGTTCTTTATTGATGTCTTCCTGCATACATTTCCATCTTATGAACAACATGCAACCCTTATACCCTCACGCTCGATACTCTAGGTTAGCTGGGGGGTGGAAACGTGGGCACAGTGGGATCAGAATGTGGTCGGTCCTGCCAGCACTTTTTTTAAAATCTCGAAATATTTTTATCCCGTGATTCCAGTTAAAAACCCTAAATCCGCCTTCGCAAGGTTCATGTAGATCGGAACCTTTCCTCGTTGCAACATGAACGAAATATTTGACGCCTTTGAGAGTGCCAACGCTCGTTGCTGATTGCCTGAAGTTGTCATCTGCAAAGCCCAACGCTCTTCGTCAAAAATAACAGAGTAGGGTGTTCAGTAGGGAGGTGCCCATATCAAGTTGTGCAGTTCCGGTCGTCATTGACAATCCGATCACGGCGTCGACGAGCTATTCACACTAAGGAGCATTCAGAAATTCGCCCGCTGAGGTGTGAATGTGTACGCCTGCAGCAGATGGATTGAAGAAGTAATGTTCCATCCTCGTACATTTCAGGGAGTCTGTTTGCACCTCAGAGGAAGACAGACTTCCTCACTTTACTTGTTCACAATGCATGTAATCAGACCTTGAGTGTCTCCACACTCGACCAACTGAGAATGCTTTTTTAGGTGTCTGTTCGTCTTGTTTGCTTTTCGTTCCCAATACTATCGGTTTGCTATTCTTTGAAGGAGCGGTGTCAGGGATTAAGCAAACAGAGTGATAACTGCTTATCCGGCAAAGGCCCGTGGTGTGTATTATGTGAGCAGCCGTTAACAGGATTGCGCTCGCATTGCTCATCCGTCCAGTGCTTTACGATGACGAGAGCACCGAACTTTCCCCACTTTTATGCAGTAGACCATAAAAATTTGCCGGTAGAAACGGAAGCCGGGTCGACGTTCTTGGATAACAAAATTATGCTGTAGTCATAACGGCACACCTCGAAGACGCAACATACGTTGAAACTCGAACTAAAACAAGTACCTGTAGTAGCCGGTTGCAAACCGATGTGGCAGAGCGTACGCATTTTGAATAAGACCAGCTACCTTCTGGCGAGGCCGAAAGAGTAGCTTTTTTGAGCATGCTTTTCCAGGTGGATTCCTGCTTGGGAGGCCGCAAATGTGTAGGGGAAGGGTTAAAGGTGGTAATTTCATCTACGTGCATGTGTGCTTCGGTTACTCGAATGTTTTTCATATGGCATCCGAAAGTTTTCGTGAATTGATTGTTGTTTTAAGTACTCAGATCGGTAGCAACTTTTGAAGAGAACACGCTCTGTTGACGAAAATGACTCTTTAGCTCTGAAAATATGCAGTTACCAACTTCCACGGCCTAAACAGCGACTTTTGGAGAGCTTCGTTTCTAGGGCCGGTCTTTTTAAACCCTGCATAAATAAAGGGGGCAGTAAGCTGCGTAAATTTGCCCGAAAACGTAAATATATGGAGCACAGACTCTAACTTTCGGCTTGTTCCCGTCTTTTTTCCACTCCAACTTTCCTACAAAAGTAGATACACGTATTAATTTCCGCCATGGCATCCGTGCGTAGATGACTGTAAAGATATTTCCTTGCGGACCTCATTGTTGATAGGTTGAGGGCTGCTGGACTAGAAATATCTTATATGTGGTCTATTTGGCGGTACGTGGAGGCCAAATTCGGTGAGATAGTCGCCTGAAGGTAGGTTAAAACCAGGCAAATGAGAATTAACGAGCAATGGGCATAGTAATCAGATGGATTCGTCACACCAGTGTCAAGCACACACTCAAGCATACGAACAAGAAAGCAGACGCCAAAAAACCGCACACCAATACACCCTTAGCAGGGTGAGTGCTTTTTGGTAGATTCGGGAGGAACCCTACGTCCTTAGCCTGTTCCGACAGCATAACTGACGCGCTACTTCTTTGCTATATTTCGAATCTTAGGAGGGGTAAACTTAACAAATGGTCAACCGTCCCCACTGCCACCCCGCCGGCGCCGAGAGCTCCTTTCTAATACCATTTCTAGACCAATTAGAGTCCCCCCTCGCAAAGATTGTGAACATTACTCCCCGTTCTGGGACTACGAGCTTTGTCAAAGTAGATGTGTGAAAATGTACCATCACTAGATCGATGCTTGAATAAGGGCGTCTGGGAAACATCGTAATATTAAGTCGAATAACTGATTATTTTTCCGCGCGCGGGAGAATGGCGGTCGCATATGCCTGAAACGAGCCTACCACGTGTTAGCTTAACTTACACTGCGAGTCCATGTGGGGGCGCAGTCTGTGTCACGTAATGCTTGAAACAGGTGGCTATTCGGTCACACCGGCTGATCAGCTACCACGGTAAGTCACTAACGCCACTTGCATGCGAGATGTCTTGGTGTTTGTAAGAGTCATCGGCTTAGACACGTACCTCTCCCGTCCAAGTGCCCCCAGGTTGGTGTCAATTTATACCGTTTCCATGCTAATTCATCTGACTTCTATATGAAATTGCGTTTACGTCTTTATTTATTTTTATGTGCACTAGATTGCCACGATGTCTGAATATTCCGCTGTCATCAAGGGATCGCTGAAGCTGAAAGCTGATAGCAAGATCACAAAGTAATGTCATTTCGTCTCGGGCTAATTTCTTCCCTTCTAGAAAAAGCAAACGGCACAAGCGAAAGGCGAAGGCGGAGAAGGAGCCGGAAGTGCGAGCTGACACAGCCGATTCTGCGGAGCCCTCCAGCACCAACAAAGATAATGCGTTCAACTTGACTAAGACCAAATCTGAACTAGAATTTGATCGCCGCAAAGAAAAACGGCTTTTGGAGACGATCCTGACAAAGGCCGAGAAATCACACAAGCAGCGGATCATAGACCTTAATAGACGTCTAAATGAGATGAGCGAGCACTTCGATATTCCCAAGGTCTCCTGGACAAAGTGACTGCTAAAGGGCCATTTCATTCATAATTGTACAAGCCCACCTTTACTTCCTTCCACCCTCTGCTTCATTATCCAAGTCATCACAGTTTACGATTTACTGATGTTTTTCAGGTGCGATCTGATAGAGGGTCTGACAAAGGTAGATTTTTTCCCGCCTTATCCACATTCAGCTGCGCTTCCTGCCAAGCACCAGTTATGGCCAGTTATACGCTCGCCCATACAGACTTGCAGAGGGTCCTGAGTTGTGTATCCTGTGCGTAAAATGCGTATTTATCCTTACAAAGTACTGAGAGAACAGATTAAAGCAGCGCTCGCTGAACCTGCTCGTGGTTAATCCGGGCACCTAAGAGGAATGGTTAACCGTGGGAGTTGAGGGGATCGACGTTGGGGACACACGAGAGTAATGTTCTGTGAACTGACCTAGCTATGGCTTAGAATGAGGCGTACGGACCTCGTAGGCGGTCACATTGGTTGCGAGCAATGCAAGCATACTAAGACCGGAATTATAATTTATGGCGCATTTGTATAGAAAGCCAGTCATACCATAAGATTGGCAATGTTTGGTCACGTAGAAGTAACGTTTACGAAACTGGCCTGGTTGCAGGACTGAGCACGTCTCACACAACAACACTGTTGGGGTAGACGGCCGCACTTGACCGAGATGGTGTCAGGACAAATGTGGTCTATTTCCGTCGTAAAGCATATCGACTTTCCTCCAATAAGAGGGATCGTAATTCTGCCGGTACTTTAAGCTCTTAATAGGAAATATGGCTAATAACACTCAAACGGAGTACTTGTATGTGGTCAGAAAAACCGTGACAAAATGTTTTGTATTCTTGGAAAGTAGGAAAAATGCAGACTACTTTAGCAGTGGACAACAAAGTACGCTGATAAGGAGAAATGAGATCCCAAGTAACAGTAAGGTCGAAATAAGTAGAGGGCGCGAGTACAAGTGATGAGATTGTCGGGGGAGAGGGGGGGCAAGATGGAAGAGTCAGTACCAAGAGGCAATAAGGGATGGTTTTCCTCGCACAATCAACGTGCAAATGAAGGCGAAGAGGGAGGATGCGAAGTAAGGTGCATAGAGTCGGAAATCGATGCACAAGACCAGCTTGGGGCACAGCCGAAAAATAAGGCGGAACATAAGGGATGGGCAGAAAGAAGGTTCTCATATGAGTAAAGTCCAGCTTTTTGTGAGATTGCATAAGACGCGTACATAGACCGACCAGCGCGAAGACGGTCACAACAAAAACTGGGGCAAGGATGTGGGCAGTAGGTGCCTATACCATTGATCGTTAGTGACTAAGACCGTCCTGGCTACTCACTCGGCGAGTCCGATTCTGAGTGGGAAAGTGGAGATATAAGATTAGTCACCAAATTTGTGCAGATAAGTGTTTACTACCGAACAGAGAAGCGTGGAGTAAATTGGTAAAACGTCAATGCATAAGAGGGCATTTGATCTGAGACGTAACTAGGTTTTATGGAGGTGAGGTGACTGGGCCAGGATAATGGAAGGGTGAAAAACCGCAGGGGAGTGATGTCAAGAGTTCTTGCTTGACTGAAGGACGGAAAGCTATTGATTGCATTTTGTTCGGTCAAAATGCAACCTCTCCTGTGCAGCCCTGCAATCAGGACAGATTGGCAGGCGCAAGTCCTGTGTGACTTGGGATATTTTCGGTCACGAGACCGTAGTCTAACCGCACAGCGTCTGAATTAACGTCCGGTGCTGTAGGACTGGAGTTGGAGGATTCATGGCTTAGGACAGAAAAAGAGATGAACATCCCGCTAAAACGTGTTTTGGCGGATTTTGAGCATTGGCTGTACTAAAGCCTTCTCCTTGTCGTGGGCTCGGATCCCGCCAAGATCGTCAAGTTTTACACAGTTGGGTCAGAATAAAGGATATCCCGTCGTCTTTAGCCTTTGCTAACAACAGCTCTCCTTCAGTGCGAAGAGCGTTTTTTCGAGTCACCAGGCTACATGTGGCAACGGGTAGAAATGGGAAAGATAGGAGGCGACAACGAGTAGCCCCCTGACAAAAGGTTGCCGTAATTCATAACTAACAAAATAACAGGAATCTGTGACAACTCGGTTGAATAGTGGGCAAACAAATTGAAATGAGAATGAAGAATGCGGGCGGGCGAGTGTATGAGAACATCGATATCTTGAGGAAGGTTGTCTATCGAAAGCTCTGCCAAGAGAGCCCATTCGAACTCTGCGAGATCACAATTTAACCTTGAATGGGGGCGTGAGAAAGAAGCGCCTTTTCAGAAAACAACGCTGGAATTGGCGCTTAGGATAGCCTTTGAAGTCTTGACCAGCAACAACTCTTGATTTTTGGCTGTTAATCAACCTTTACGATTCGTGGGGATTGTAGACTATCAAGATGCCAACTCCGCTATGAAATCAGGGTAAATAGACGGACTCCACCCCGGGTTAACTAAATGCAACCGACGGGAGGTGGGCTTGCGGTGCAAGCGGTAAACAATATGATCAAATGACCATCTGAACCGCGAGTTCCAACCTTCAATCTGCACGTCGTGGGGTTGGGGTGTGACTGGCTGACAACGAAAAAAAATAACCAGAGGAGGCAATTTCAGCGGCGTCAGTCGTTATTGGTCTCTATGTTTTCCCTATAACTGAACCAAACGAGAAGATGCACTTATTTATATAAAGCAGATAAACAGAGGATGGTTTATACTCGAGTTTGCAGGCAGTAAGTTTAATGCTCCTCTCAGCAGATAAATGGATTTGTTTTAAGGTATGCCAAACAGTTCTTATACTTAACCTTTTTCAGTCCACGAGGGCCTAAGTCGTGCGTAATACCACCAGAGAAGAGCAGAAATAGCGTATTTTCTATTTGACCTGTTAGTAATTTCGTATTCCCTTTCCCCAAGTATTGGCCGTCATTCCATATTAAATGCTGACATATCTGAGTAACTGTTGTTTTAGATGCAGCAACAGTCATCAATAGCGATACACCTTTTCTGAAGGCGGTCCACAACTAACGCACACCTCAAATCGCGGTTGTCAGCCAGTCGATACATTCAGGCAGCAGCCAAATATGGCCAGACATTTTTAACGTTGCAGTTTCCACTATCGAACCACCATGGCAGTCATCTCAACAGTCGGCTAAGGATGTACGAGGTCACGGTGCTAACCTTAATCCTTTGTTATTGTCAGATCAAGAAAAACAAACAAATACCTCAATCGCCTTCGGAGGTTGCTGGGAAGAGACAGACAAAAGGTACCAGGAAACCAGGTCCCAGAACCGACTTGAATGTTCAGCAATTGCATAACGAGAATGTAAAAATGCTCTCCGAATGACTACACGATGGCAATGTTATGACAGACGCCCGCAGACAGACACCTTGAAAACTTTACTTAAATGCACCTAGATGAATCAAGAATTCCAGGTAAATGTCAAATAAAACCGGTGGGTATGGTGAGCGGCTAAGAAAAATCCGCCACAGATCTGCCTCTGGACCTATTTCATCTGCTCAGAGTCCACATAGATTCAAACCCCCTGAAGTCACAGTTCCCTATCAAATAAAAACAACGAGAGCGCCGTAACCGGCCCCACTACATTTATCGCCCAGAGCATAAACACGAGCCGATAAAGATGGCAGTTGCTGACTATGACATAAAAGGCGACAAAGCATGCAGTATTTACTGACGTCATAAATTTCGAGATCTCTTATTCAGCTGCTTTATGACGTCAGTAAATACCGCATGCTTTGTCGCCTTTGCCTTATTCAAATTTATTCAGGGAAAACATTGCTTCAATATGACATGAAAACTGCCAACTAATCACACTGAAGAGTTTCGACGTGTCTGCAGAACATTAACAGAATCGTAAAAGATGTTAAATGATTTCTTTGTCTTATATGAATGATGACAAGGGGTAATTAGGGCTCTGGCCAACCTAACTATTGTGGTCACTCAAGGGTCGAGCAGTGAATTTGCTAAAAGCATTCTTTTCTGAAAGCTAGCATTTTTACGAAAATACGTCCAACGTCTATCATCTACAGTACAAAAATACAGGAAATCAGGTACTGGCGAAATTGCTACACAGTTGATGCTTATTCACTTCACTCTGCGGAGATTTTCCTATTATTTCCCTTACATATGCACGGGAAAAGGATAGCAAGTCCAAAAACAAGCATTGGCTGTCAGCGTCTCACACCCTCAGGCCGCAGTGGCACAACATTAGTGGTTTCTAAGATTTCCATAAAACCACAGCGTAGAAGTAACTATAATACACAGCTCACCGTCAATTGCCAACTTTGTCACTTTCTGCGTAAGCAGATCCAAATTTCGGTTAATCTCGGCAGTGGACGTGCAATGGACACTCGGGTAGAGCATTTTGGACGGCTCTAATCCGCCAAGGGTAGATCGTGAAGGAAATTCGTCAAGTTGGCCACCAACATAAGCCAATGATGATGGGGCCGTCGGCACACTGACTCCAGGCGATGCACTTGTGCTTGGTGTCTCCAGCAGCATTGCTGCGAGGGAGGCTTTTGTTAAATTGGAAGTGATTTCAGCAACTTCATCACTGGACTGGTGAGTGAGGGTCTGCCCGTGAATAGGAAACTCGCTTGACGATTGTTGTCGTGGAGGATGTGCCGGAAGTGAAGCCATTGAGCCCTCCTTCACTGTGGACCCACGGCAAGTTGGAAACCCTTTACAGTAGGCGGGAGTCTATAGAATAAAATTGCTTAGTTAATCAATGACTTTTAGCAGCAATTTTTGCGACACTTTAGCTTCCAAACACTTACAAACAGGCTATCCACGGGCCCTCCTTGCGATTGGAAGACAGGAGACGGTTCGGCGGTTGCTAAGCGTTCACTTGAAACATCACCACCCGCAGCAGGCATGCCGAATCTAGAATTACCGCCATGTAAACTCAGAAAATGCGGAGTCTGACCACCAGCAACAGGACCACAACCAACAACTGGCATCGACTGCAGTGGCCGTGGTGGTGGGTGCTGACGAGACGAGGAGGGGACAGGAAATTCAGGATTCGGTATGCTACTCCAAGAGTGAAATGCGTAGTGACCTGATTTTCCACCACTGAGGCAAGATTCGTCAGTGACTCCAAATCCAGCCTGAATGGGGGGAAGATTTGAGCTGCCCAGACGCGGCCCAGGTGTGAGGTAAGGATGGATGTAGTCGAGCTGCCGTTGATCATCACGTGCACTCAAAGTGGACCATGACCGACTAGATGACGATGGAGTCTTAGTAAAGCTGGGTAGCGGTGCAAACGCACCAGCAACCTTGCTGCTCTGATCACACTCGTACGAAGAGGCTTGCTGATGGAAAACGGACTGCTTGTCGTCGTTAAATGACGGCGTGCTTACCACGCCGGTGTTGATTAGTGGGCAGTTGGGGGACAAAGCACCCGGTCGAGGACGGGGATCAACGCTGTCAGTGTAGCCGCTGGAACTGAGTCTGATGGGTGAGAGGGAGTGGTGAGCCGGATAGCCGGCCCCTGGGAGTGGCAGACTATGCAAACGATACTGTGGACGCGGCATGAAGGGAGTGGTGAATGACGGCTGGCGGACGCTGTAAAAGCCGGACCGAAAAGAAGGGTGGTACTGGGTGGGTCGACGCGAAGGCCGTGTGTTTCTGTAGGAACGGCGTAACGGAGCCGGACCCAGGGCATCTACAAGTTTCAGCTGCCACTCAGACGCAAGGGATTTCTGCTCTTTCGTAAAGGACTAAAAAAGAATGGCATAAATTAAGAAATAGGAGAAGTAGAAAGTTGAGCACAGATGGCAAATGCATCTTAAAGAGGGAGACATGATTGTTGGGACAAAAGCGTTATTAGCCTGACGTTGCGGATTCCTGCTGGAGCCCATCATCAGAGACAAAAGGAGATACGGCCGAATCCTCACTCCGCCCTCTTATAGGCCAATGATAAGTTCGAATCAGACAGACTGGAAAAAAGCAACTTTGACGCGTAAACACACCGGATACCTTCATACACAGTTTCGTCGGGCGAGATGAGACTGCCGCCACCGCACATTTTCCAGGACCAAGTCCGCTAATAAAACAGGTCTGACACTGCACTTTCCCTCTATTTGCTTTGCACAAAACGCACTCTTCGACTTATTAACCTCTTTTCTTAAAAACAAGGTTAAGCATAGAGAGAGCATCGTCATGAAAATCCGAGCACACGTGCCATAAGACTTTGGACTCCATTTGGGGATAGGAGAAGATGCAGCATTCTCGCTGCTGGCGAAGCAGGTTACGCCAAACCGGTCGACCACCTAAAAATTCCAGGGTCTCATGTTTTCCTCCATGAATTAAATGCAGTAAGATATGGAAAATTTGGGCGACGCCTGTAGGAAGCTCACCCTTGCCGCTTCTGATACGAGGCAGGCAGAAACTGTAATTTGCCATTCTTTGCAACATGCCCCCTAACCTTCTAGCTAGCGTAAAAGCTACTCGCAACGCTGCAGTGTCTTTGAGCTACATGAGCGATATCGGACTGTCTACAGGCTAGTTGTGCAAAGCATCGTCCAAAAACGAGATGAGCTGACGAGAAACAGCTCTCTTAACTAGCCCCGAAAGAGAGATCGATCGTCAAGAACAGCATTGATTCTCTCTGCTCAAGTCACACGCCTACGTACTCGCTTCTCTCACATTCCGCGTCGCAGAAGGACAGTCAACTGCCAGAGCGTGACGGGTCCGGGCGCAGTCAGCTTGCCTGTCATTTGCATAGTTTAGCGTCACAAACTCACACGGTAAAATGGGCAAACATGAGACGAAGGGAAAGTAGAGTGGCAGCATAGGATGCTGTGGAATGAGCATTATGCGTGTTCCCAGCAGTTTGTCCGTCATCCTACGTGCCCAAGGCAAGATAGCGGGACATTAGGGGATGCACCTAACCTCAAAACTACCGTGACCCAGTAGTCGTGCGCCGAACAGCACTGGTACAGTCGGTGTGGAATGGTTATGAGGTAAACAGTGCGTAATGATACTTCGCTCTCAGTCACGGGGACACGGTTGATCGTGATTGTGGTGCGAAGAGGAGATACAACCTGAGAGTAATTTTGAGAAAATTATCGTGTTTACTACAGTAGGAAGACAAGAGGCTAGCGTACGTGTTCCACGGAAGTCTGACTCAGCAGCCGACAACAGCAACGGCTGAGTTAGCTGGAAAAATTGTCGGTCAACCAGGTCCGACAGTCATGAAGACAAGCGTGACAGTTCAGGAAACGAATGCTACACTAAGTAGGCTCGGGCAGTAAGAGCACCGAAGAAGGCGACGATCAGATTGTCTGCGAGATACTTACGGAGGTAGGCAAGGAACGAGAAAGGAATCAACACCAGATGGAAGTGGCACTTTATCGATCTGGCTGCAGCAGAAACACACTGTTTCACGTTGCTCCGACTTCCCTGATGTTCCCTATGGAAGCAGGATCAGTCTACACCGAGTGCTGTAGAACTGCACTGAGCAGACCGTCGGTCTAACATGACCGGTAGCGAGATTTGGCAGCACAAAGACTGAACCAGAAAAAGATGTATGATGGACAACGAATCGCTAACCCCCCTCCCAACTTCACGGTTGTACCCACCGCTATACAAGCATGGCAATAGGTAATCCATTAAACGCGAATTCGGTTAGTTAGGTGCATGTCGACAGCCTCCAAAAACTGAAAAACGCTTACTTATATTGCTTCACCTAGACATTAATGATATCATACAGGGTAGCCCTTTATCGTCTGAATGCTGTCGGAAGAGTTAGGGAAAAACGGACGCCATAACTCAGCCGCACTGCAGTCAAGAACTACCACTAGACTGAAAACGATGAGCGTTCCTCGGGTTGTAAGGTATAGACAAATGAGTCAATAGTTCACTGGCCTTCGGGCAGGACTGATGAAAATGAATAGCTCGGATGACTAGACTTCCCGCGCGTTTAAGAGGATAAAAATAAAGTTCAGTTTGGGCAAAGTCTCTGTTATCTAATAAAATCAGATAACAGCCTCGGAGGCGACAGTTCATCGAAGTACAAGAACCATGGAACTCGAGTGCAAAGAAAATGGACAAGGAGCATGTTTGTGAAGGAAACACAGCAAACGGTTATATCTGCCTCTGTGCAAGACTCCTATGCCAGTCATTTAATTCTCTGACAAAAGGCGCAAACGCACATAAAGCAAAACTAGCGACGGCCGTGCAAGTGTAGTAAAGAAAAGATAAGGTTAAAAATGTTTAAACTTACGGAATGATCCAGGACGACCGTCAAAAGTTGCACAAAGGAGGCATAATTGTCCTGATCACTTTTTGTACCATTTAGGAGGGCGGTGAAACCTGGAAGAAAGAAGGATATGTTTGAGGTAACCTTTGTGCGAGCATGGAACACAAGTTTAGTAAGAATTTAAAGGAAAGTGTCCTTTTCATTGATACTTTTAATAATTGTTCTGGCATATTTTGATTCAGTTGTTTCGACCACCGAGGTCATGGAGTTTTTCTCAGTCGGGTCAAAATAACTTGTTAATTTCATTACCAACATTGTTGGTACTATCTAACGTAACTGGAGGAATGACATTTGGTCAAAGTCAACTGATAAACCACTAATCCCGAACCAGACAACGTCAAAATCGGCGATGTTCAGCAAGTTATCAGGTAACTCAAGGTCACATAGGGTACCCAGATCCTACCTGAGAAGAAGACGTCGTCGCCGCGCTACAGGCAATAGCGACTATCGCAAGCGATGTCCATATCTCCTGCGGCTATTTCTCAAAGCAGGAGCAAATGATAGGTTTTCTACTTAGAAGTGGCCTACCATAAAAGAGGAAAGCAACATGCCCGCAGTATCAATAGTTGGTGAGATCTGGCGAAACGATGAGGTATTTTGATACCTTAACGTTCTGCCATATGATTCTCCTTCACTCTTGATCCGTCCGCACTGAGCATTAGTGGTGTTCATGCATTAAGTGGCATCAATAAAAGTTGAGACTAAACGGTTTATTGAGCACTGAGCGGAATACTGCGTGCCCCATAAATGGCCCCAGTCGAAAGGTAAATTCGCCGACACATGCGAAAAGACAGGTTCTAAACAATGACTGAGGACTGTAATAGGTCACTGGAACAAGAGATCTACTTGCCTTACGTTTGATATTACAACTCTAACCATTTGGGAAAGAAACCGAGGGAGGCAAAGGGCATTGCAGCATCTGTAGAAAGGGGTTGCTATGCTGACTGAGGGCTATGTTCAAGTCACTAATCGCCGAGCATTCATCACGAGTGGTGGCAATTGTAGTAGTCTTAATTTTTGCCTCCATACCTAGCGCTGGCAGGGGCGGGGGGAGGGAGGGAAGTGCACAGAAGCCACATGAAATAACCTGGAGAATAATACGCAGAGCGACCGCGTTGCAGACTGGTCCCGACTTAATAGAGCTGGTTGGGTTCTCAACAGGCCTCAATGGAATATCGTGTTGTACCAGTGCACAGCACCAGCAAGCCTAAAATTCGCGGTCGCCGAATAAGGCACCAAAGATGCCGGAAGTGCTGCTCACAACTAAAGTTTCAAAAAATAGGAATGAATGGCAACACTATGAAACTAAATTGAAGGACCTTAAAGCCCTTTTCACGAGACAGAACAGTGACCTTTATTTAAGGGGCGTCTTACGATGTCGCGGGAGGAAAGGAACCCGGAAATGAGGCTGTATGGGAGCAGCGGATAGTGCAACTATCTTCTGTAAAGGCCAAACGTGAAATAAGAACGCTTAAATCCGATAACAAGTATTCAAGGGGCGGTAGCGACAGGTCTAGCATAACACAGGAGATTAACGGCTGGCAAAGCGGCTTCCTTTAAAACCCAACAGAGTGCGGGGAGAGCGAGAGTAGACCGTAGTTACGTAGTTGTGTATGCAATCACCGCCGTACAGGCTGGACATTTATTCAAAGGCTGTGTTGAGAACTATCAAAACCAAACGGCATCCAATCCCTGAAATTCAATGACATGTGAGTTCTCTGATCGTAAATGTAGACTTGCGATAGGCGACCGTGGCCCTGAAAATGAGAGACGCCTGATTTCGGTGAGTAAGCCGGAAACGGTATGGTAGAATATTTTCTTTGTTAGAAGCCTCTCCGAGAAAACTTATGGAAAACCCTTTGGGGATGCATCGTGACAGAAGACCTAAATAGCTGTCTCTATGTTAGTAAAGAGTCATTATATGACTTTGATGCCGTTCCTGGATGAGAGTTTTCTTGTTTCTTTAAATTCGTTATCACCAATTGTCCGCAACGTCAAGAATAAATGTCGATTAAAAAATCCACAGATGTTCTTGTAAATTCAAATATGCTTCACAGAAAACATACAGAAATATGCATTTTCACTCATTTGGTAGAAAATTAATTCTTCTTTAAATTGTATACTCAAAATAGGGGTATAATTCGGTTTCAAAAGAACTTTCCAATTCCCAAATAATTTCGAAACCGACCTGCTGTTACACTTGCATTCAGGAATTTCAAACTACAAGCTGCATACTTTCCGCGCACGGAAAATCATACACTTCTATACGGTATTAAGAGGAGACCATAAGGGATTCGTAAAATTGAGCAGTGGATTTGAGCCATATTGTAAACTTTACAAGCAGCATTAAGAAATGCAGGGAAAAACTATGTTGTGAACGGGCACTTCACGGTCTTGAAAAATCTCATAATTAAGGACTTGTTTAAAACCTATTATGTCGCTGGTTTAATTTAAAAATTTAAAGAAGACATGATTTTATACCAAATTAGTTAAAGTGAATATTTTTTGTATGTTTTCTATGAAATATATTTGAATGTATATGGGTATCGAAAATCAATAGGAAAAATCTATACTACACACGTGGTCATTTTGTGAAGTGTGTAGATTTTGTCGGCGGCCGGAAAGAAGTTCGTTCAAAAGCCAGCATCTCAAAGTATCTGCATTATCTTGCGATTATGCTACACGCTGATTAATACCACACCCCATTTAGGTAATCCTTTCGAGTCGGAAACGCATTTCAGAATTTCGGTTAACATTTCACGAGTTAGCTCATCTACTTCTACTTCTGAATTAGAAGAAACATTTTAGTAAAGACAGTACCTTGGAAGAGACATCTGATGATCTGCTCGGGAAGATTTTCGGATTCTGGTGGGATGGCAGCAGCATCCATCTCAGCAGTTGTTAGCAGGAGAGGTTTGGATGCGGACTGAAGATCATGTCGACCAGTTCTGACAAGCTGCGGTAGCCGACTGTTACAGTCAGCGGTAGTACCAGCAGAAGAACCCAGCTGCTTCTGAGAATGTCGTTTGCACAACTTCCCCGTTCGGCTTAGTGAGAAATCACAGTTACGGCGAGCCGGGGGGTCGTGCTCAAGGAAGTAGACATTTTCACTGGACTGAGGTCGGATAATAGTGGGTACAAGAAGAGGACAGGGTCTCTCTAGCCCCTCCGACGACGACCTGGGCTGGTGAAGAGAGGAGTCCGAGTTGTTTAGGGTAAGACGGAAGAGAATACCACCCCCGGACCTTAAATCATCTCTTTTAATAGCAAATTTGCGCTGCCTGGGCGGCAGGCGGGGCCGAGAAGGGCGGTGGAAGACCTCACCGAGGAAATCTCGCTGGTCCGAAATGTCTGGGTTGTCCTCTTCATCGCCAAATTCATCCTCTTCATCCTCGTTGCCGAAGATGTCATCTTCTTCTTCATCCTCCTCCTCGACGTCTACGTCTTCAGTCGATGGCGCTGAAACTTCCGGCACAGCCAATGCGGCTGAACACTGAGCAGAACAATGTGAAAGTGGCTGATTAGGAGCACTCCCCTGAGACTGTGTGGATGGCCCCGAAGCCGGCACTGGGGCCACTGGCGCCGTGCCTCCCATGAAACGGGCAATTGGAGTCTGCAGGATGCTACGCAACTCTGCAAGGAAGCCTCTCAGAGTGGGTACCTGGTCAGCGGAACCAATGCAGTCCGCCATTTCATGCTCTAGACGCTTAAGGGTGGCTGACCTACTGGAGAGCTTATTGATGCTGACAAGTATTTTGT